TGTGCTTTTGGTGTCATATCCAACAAATTACTACCAAATCCAGTGTCATGAAGCTTTTCCCCTATGTTTTCTCCCAAGAGTTTGATAGCTCTACCTCTTACGTTTAGATATTTGATACATTTTCCGTTAATTTTTTTCAATAATATTAGATGATAAAATGTTCAAACTTTGCTCTTTTGCATGTGAATATGTATTTTTCTATGTACCACTTGTTGAAAAGATGTCTTTTTCCCCATTAAGCCATCTTGGCACCATTGTTTATTTGACCATAAATGTAAGAGTTTATTTCTGGGCTCTCTCTGTTCTATTCCATTGGTCTATATGTCTGTCTTTATGTTACTACTACACTGTTTTGATTACCATAGCTTTGTAGTAAGTTTCAAAAGCAGAAAATATAAGACCTCTAACTTTATTTTTCTTTTGCAGGATTGTTTTGGCAATTGGGAATTCCTTGAGATTTATTAGGAATGTTAGGAGTGACTTTTTTTTATTTTTGCAAAAGACATTACTGAAATTATAATAGGAATTGCATTGAATCTGTAGATTGGTTTGGGTAGTATGGATATCATAACAATATTAAATCATCTAGTTCATGTACATGGGATTTCTTTCCATTTATTTGTGTCTTCTTTAATTTCAGCAGTGGGTTGTGGTTTTCAGTGTATAAGTCTTTCATCTCTTTGGTTAGACTTATTCCTAAGTTTATTATTCTTTTGATGCTATTGTAAATGGAATTGCTTTTCTCAAATTCCTTTTCAGATTACACATTGTTAGGACATATTTATGGCCAATTTTTATGTGCTGATTTTATATACTGAAACGTCACTAAATGTGTTTATTAGTTCAAACAGGTTTTGTTTGTTTCTGTGTGTGTATGGCGGGGGGGGGGGCGGTGTTTGTGTGTATTCTTGGGATTTTATACATATGAGAGGATCTCATCCGAGAACAGAGATGATTTTACTTCTATCTTTCCAATTTAGATGTCTTTTATTTCTTTTTCTTTCCTGTTTGCTCTGGTTACAACTTTTAACACTATGTTGAATACAAGTGGCAAAATTGAACATACTTGCCTTGTTGTTGATCTTATAGAAAAAGCTTTCAGTCTTCCACCATTGAGTATGATGTTAGCTGTGGGTTTTCTACATATATCTTTATTGTGCTGAGATGGTATGGCAAATTAATTTTTGTATGTAAAACTATCTTTACATCCCAGGAATAAATCCTACTTCATCTTGGCATATAATACTTCCAATATGCTATTGAATTTGGTGTCCTAGTAAACCAAATAATTTTTGGCATCAATATTCATAAGTAATATTAGTGTGTATTTCTTGTCATATCTTTTTCTGACTTTGACATCAGCATAATACTGGCCTCATTGAATGAGTATAGAAGTATTCTTTCCTCTTTAATGTTTCTAAAAATTTGAAGATTGATGTTAATTCTTCTTTAAATGTTTGTTAGAATTCACTGATGAAGCCATCTGATCCTGAACTTTTCTTTCATGTAAGGGTTTTGATGACTGACTCAATTTCCTTACTCATTACCCATCTGTTGGAATTCCTTATTTCTTTATGATCCAGTATTAGTTGATTGTACATTTCTAGAAATCTGTCCATTTTCATCTAGGTTATCTATTTTGTTGAGGTGCAGTTGTTCACAGTACTTTTTACAATTATTTTTATTTCTGTAAAATTAGTAGTAATGTCAGTGAACATTTGTGTTAAAAAAGAAGAACAATCTCAAACAAAAAATCCAGTGAGGAGAGTGTTTACCATTACAATTATCTCTCTTAGCACTGCTTTTACTCAGTCCCATAATTTGGCATGTAGTGTTTTCATTTTCATTTGTCTTAAGATATTTTCTAATTTCCCTTCTGATATGGTTTGGCTGTGACCCCACCCAAATCTCAACTTGACTCTCCCAGAATTCCCACATATTGTGGGAGGAACCCAGGGGGAGATAATTGAATCATGGGACCACTCTTTCCCATGCTACTCTTTTGATAGTGAATAAGTCTCATGAGATCTGATGGGTTTATCAGGGGTTTCCACTTTTGCTTCTTCATTTTCTGTTGCCCCCTGACTCTTGCCTCCAGCCATGATTCTGAGGCCTCCCCAGCTATGTGGAGTTGTAAGTTCAATTAAACATCTTTTTCTTCCCAGTCTCAGGTATGTCTTTATCAGCAGCGTGAAAACAGACTAAAACAGTAAATTGGTACCAATAGAGTGGGTTGCTGAAAAGATACCCGAAAATGTGGAAGCAGCTTTGTAACTGGGTAACAGGCAGAGACTGGAACAGTTTGAAGGGCTCTGAAGAAGACAGGAAACTGTGGGAAACTTTGGAACTTCCTAGAGACTTGTTGAATGGTTTTGCCCAAAATGCTAATAGCAACATGGACAATAAAATCCAGGCTGAGGTGGTCTCAGATGGAGTTGAGGAACTTGTTGGGAATTGAAGTGAAGGTGACTCTTGTTATGTTTTACCTAAATAGCTGGTGGCATTTTGCCCCTGCCCTAGAGATTTGTGGAACTTTGAACCTCAGAGAGATGATTTAGGGTATCTGGCAGAAGAAATTTCTAAGCAGAAAAGCATTCAAGGGGTGACTTGGATGCTGTTAAAGGCATTCAGTTTTGTAAAGGAAACAGAGCATAAATGTTCAGAAAATTTGCAGCTTGATTATGTAATAGAAAAGAAAAACCCATTTTCTGGGGAGAAATTCAAGCTGGCTGCAGATATTTGCATAAGTAGCAAGGAGCCTAAGGTTAATCCCCAAGACCTTGGGGAAAATGCCTTCAGGCCACCACATCAGAGACCTTCACAGCAGCCACTCCCATCACAGGCCCAGAAGCCCAAGAGGAAACAGTGGTTTCATAGGCCGGGCCCAGGGTTCCCATGCCATGTGCAGACTAGTGCCTTGTGTCCCAGCCACTCCAGCCATGGCTGAAAGGGGCCAACTTGCAGCTTGGGCTGTAGCTTCAGAGGGTGGAAGCTGCCAAGCCCTGGCAGCTTCTGCGTGGTGCTGAACCTGCGGGTGCACAGAAGTCAAGAATTGAGGTTTGGAAACCCCCGCCCAGATTTCAGATGTTTGGAAATGCCTGGATGCCCAGGCAAAAGTTTGCTGCAGGGGCAGGGCTCTCATGGAGAACCTCTGCCAGGGCAGCATGGAAGGGAAATGTGGGGTCGGAGCCCCCACACAGAATCCCTACTGGGGCACTGCCTAGTGGACCTGTGAGAAAAGGGCCACCATCCTCCAGACCCCAGAATGGTAGATCCACCAACAGCCTGCACTGTGTGGTTGGAAAAGCCACAGACCCTCAATGCCAGCACGTGAAAGCAGCTGGGAGTGGGGCTGTGTCCTGCAAAGTCACAGGGGTGGAGCTGCACAAGACCACTGGAACCCACCTCTTGCATAAGCATGACCTGGATGTGAGACCTGGAGTCAAAGGAGATCATTTTGGAGCTTTAAAATTTGACTGCCCCGCTGGATTTCGAACTTGCGTGGGCCCTGTAACTTTGTTTTGGCCAATTTCTTCCATTTGGAATGGCTGTATTTACCAAATGCCTGTACCCCCATTGTATCTAGGAAGTAACTAGCTTGCTTTTGATTTTACAGGCTCATAGGTGGAAGGGACTTGCCTTGTCTCAGATGAGATTTTGGACTGTGGACTTTTGGGTTAATACTGAAATGAGTTAAGACTTTGGGGGACTGTTGGGAAGGTATGATTGGTTTTGAAATGTGAGGACATGATATTTGCAGGGGCCATGGGTGGAATGATATGGTTGGGTGGATGTATCCCCACCCAAATCTCAACTTGAATTTTACCTCCCAGAATCCAAGGGGGACTCAGTGGGAGGTAATTGAATCATGGTGGCCAGTCTTTCCTGTGCTATTCTCATGATAGTAAATAGTCTTATGAGGGCTGATTGGTTTATCAGGGGTTACTGCATTTGCTTCTTCCTCATTTTCTCTTGATGCCTCCATATAAGAAGTGCTTTTTGACTCCCGCCATGATTCTGAGGCCTCCCTGGCCATATGAAACTGTAAGTCCAATTAAACCTCTTTGTCTTCCCAGTCTCGGGTATGTCTTTGCCAGCATCATGAAAACAAACTAATACACCTTGTGATTTCTTCTTTGACCCATGGCCTGTTTAAGAGTGTGTTGCTTAATTTCACTCATTTCTAATTTTTAAAGTTTTTCTTCTGGTATGAATTTGCAGTTTTATTCCATTGTGATGAGAAAAAAAAACTTCATATGATTTCCATACATTGACATTTACTAAGACTTATTTTGTAGCCTAACATGGTCTATCCTGGAGAATGTTCCATGTGCACTTGAGAAAAATGCATATTCTGCCTTGTTAAATGGAGTGTTCTGTGTATATCCATTAGATACAATTGTTCTAAAATAGTTCTTAAGTTCTCTAGCTTCTTATTGTTCTTTCAAATTTTTCTATCCATTATTGAAAGTGGGTTATTAAAGTCTACTGTTATTGTAGAGCTGTCTATTTCCCCTTTCAATTCTCTCAATGTTTGTTTCATATGTGTTTATAATTGTTATATCTTCTTAGTGAATTCATCCTTTCATTATTATATAATGTCCTACTTTGTCTTTTGTAACCATTCTTCACTGAAAGTGCATTTTGTGTGATATTAATATAATTGCCACTGTTCTCTTTTGGTCAATTTTTTAATTTAATATTATTTTTCTATCCTCTCACTTTCAACCTATGTGTGTCTTTAGGTCTAAAGTGAGTCCCTTGTAGACAGTATATAGCTGGATCCTGTTAATTTTTAAAAATCCATTCTGCCAATCTGTCTTTTGAATGAAAATATAAATATTTTCATTTATGTTGAGAATAATTACTGATAGGGAAGAGCTTACAATTGACATCGTAAATTTTTTTTTTTTTTTTTTAGATGGAGTCTTATTCTGTCACCCAGGCTGGAGTGCAGTGGCACGATCTCGGCTCACTGTAAGCTCCACCTCCCGGGTTCATGCCGTTCTCCGACCTCAGCCTCCCGAGTAGCTGGGACTACAGGTAAATTTTGGTTTCTTATAGCTATTTTGTCCCTTATTTTTTCCTTTACTGCTTTTCTTTATTTTTAGTTGACTTTTGTGGTGATAAATTTTGATTCCCTTTTTATTTCCTTTTGCTTATATTCTATAGGTAGATTATTTAAGATTATTATAGGGATTGCATATAATGTCCTAAAGTTATGTTACTCTATCTTAAGTTGATACCAATTTAACTTCATTCACACAAAAAACTCTACTACTATACAGCTTCAACCCCTTTATGTTATCAGTGTCTCACACAGCACATCTTTATATCACATAGTTTTCAACATAGGTTTACAATTTGTTACTCGTTTTTTTAAAATTTTGTAGAAAATGAAAGACTTAAGTTACAAACCAAAATTACAATTTGTCCACATATTTACCTTTACTGAAGAACTGTATATTTTTATATGACTTTGAATTACTGTCTAATGTCCTTTCCTTTCTACTTGAAGGACTCTCTAGCATATTTTGTAGGAAAGTTTTAGCGATAATAAACTCCCTTAGCTGTTGCTTGTCTTGGGATGTCTTAATTTCTTCCATAGTTTTGAAAGATAGTTTCGCCAAATATAGAATTCTCAGCTTACATTTTTTTTTTTCAGGACTTTAAAGGTATCATCCTACTGCTTTCTTTCCTGCAAGGTTTATTTTGTGAAATTTTCTGCTAATCTTATTGGAGATTTATTTTATGTGATGAGTCACTTTTCACTTTCTGTTTTCAAGTCTCTCTTTGCTTCTTCATTCCTTTTGGTTTTGCTTCTCAAACACAATAATATCAAGTGGTCTGTCAAGGTTGCTGCTTCTCCTCTTTGGCTGTGGTGGTTAATTTTATGTGTCAGCTTAACTGGACTAAGGAATGTCCAGATAGCTGGTAAAGCGTTATTTCTTGATGTGTCTGTGAGGGTGTTTCCAGGAGAAACATTTAAGTCATAGACTGAGTAAAGAACGTTGACTTCAGCAACGTGGTTGGGCATCGTCAAATACATTAATGGCCCAATTAGAACAAAAAGGTGGTATGAGATGGGCACTGTCACTGTGGGAAGACAATGTTTTTAGAAGGGCTGTCTTTGACTTTTTCCTTGATTTGTCTATTAACTTATTTGCCTTTGTTGGTCACATCTAGCTGTTAGGTTACATGAATTGATGGATAATTGCTCTATTGTTTTCAACAGTGCCCTGGGCACCTAAATTGTTTTGCAGCCTGCTTTCAAGAAAGTCAGGTCTCTTTGCATAGGTAGCCTTTGAGATGAATCTTCAACCCTAGGAGTGCTCTTCTGTGTCTTTTCCTGTATTATCTCTGGTAAACTTCAGCTGGTCTAAGGTTTAGGTAGTTGCTTCCATGGGATTACCTGCATCTTCTTAATTACTTATCACCAAAACCTTCATTGTTTTTGAAATTGCCCTTAGGCTTGAACTTTCCCACAAGCTATTCCAAATTAAAATCCATTTCTTTATAGAGATCTGATCACTCTCTTTCTAGGCAAATGGTCTTTGTGATTGCTATTGAGTGGGGTGGATTGGAGGGGGGCAATGACCCACTTGTCTTGGAGTAACATATCTGCTTTACTAGCAGGACAGTGGACAGAGCAAGTGGCTTCTCTCTTTTTTAGTTTGCTTCATCTGGTATGGAATCTTCTAGTGTGAAGCCTCACAAGTGATCTGGGACAAGAGGAAATTGGGCTCCAATAGTCTCAGGCTGTCATGCCTGAGATAAAAGTTTCACCCTTTAATTAAAACTGTGTGGGGAAAGAAAGTCTCATTTCTTTCATTCTTTCTTGACTGTGTTCAGGGGTCTTCTTGACTGAATTTCTATACAAAAAATGGAGAGAAGGAGAAATTCTGCTGGGCTGATTCTCCCAAGAAGATGTCATACTCCTTAAGTAGGAAGTAGGATGAGAGGGAGTCCTGTGTATTTCACTGCACTGCCCTGACATAATGTTTCTGTCATGCTGAGCAGGAAGAAGGGAGGGAGGGAACAGGTAGTGGCTCAAATGCCACAGAGTAGCACTGTTCTTATCAATATTTACTAGATTTATTATAATAAATTATCTTTTAAAATTTTTCTGTGTGCTCTTATAATAATTTCCAGAGATTAAAGTAATCTGGTTTTTGTTGTTTTTCAGTTTTTACCTGTTATGATTGTTTTGCTGGAGGGCAATTCCATGGAGCTCTTCATGCTACTGTTCCAGATGTTGTGCTCTATAATTAATTTTTTATATTGATCTTGCATCCTGCAATGTGGCTAAACTCCCTTATTATTTCTAATTGATATGTTGTAGATTCCATTATATTTTTTACATAGACAATGATATCCTCTGTGAATAAAGATAGTTTTCTTCTTCCTTCTTAATCTTCTTTTCTTTTAATGTCTTTTACTTGCTTTATTCCACTGGCCAGAACCTCCATGACAATGTTGCAGGCAGGTCATGAAAGTGTTTTTTCTTTTTTAATCTCAGGAGGAACACTTTGTTTCATCATGAAGTATGATGTCATCATTAAGAATGAGTTTTTGGTAGATGCCCTTTATGAGATTGAGGAATCTCCTTATATTTCTATTTTCTGAGTGTTTTTATTAGGAAAGTATATTAGATGTTGTCAAATTTATTTTTATATGTCTACTTGGATGACCTTATTTTTTTCTTTTTGAGTTTTATAATATAATATGTTGCATTTATTAATTTTTGAATATTAAACCAACCTTACATTCCTAGTATAAATACCATTTAGTCATGATTGATATATTAGCTTTTTCATACATTGTTGGATTCAATTTATTACAATTTTATTTTTGCATCTATCTTTGTAAGAGATACTGGTCTATAGTTTTCCTTTATTGTTCTGGTTTTGGTGTGAGGATAATGGTGACTTCATAAAATAATTTGTTTTTCATAGATTCACTTTTCAAGTATTTCTCCTCTTCAGGAGGAGTTTAGAAGTTTCAGTAGTATTAGTATAATTCCTTCCTTCATGTTTAAGAATTTTCCAATGTAGAGCCAGCCATCTGAGGCTGGAATTTTTTAGTCAGTAAGTCTTTTAACTTTAAATTGTTTTTAATTAATAGATATAAGGCTATGTTGGTCATCTATTTCTTCTGTAGTGAATCTTGATAGTTTGTGTATTTTATGCAATTTTTATTCTAAGTTTCTTTAACATGAAATTTTTTACAATATTCTCCTTTTATCTTTGTATTATCTATATAACCTGTGTGATGACGCTTCCTTTATTTTTGACTTGGTAAATTGTGCCTTTATTCTTTCTTTTTCTCATCAGTCTAGCTAAAGGTTTATCATTGTTTTGGTCTTCTCAAAGAACCACCTTTTTAGTTTCATTAAATTTTCTGTATTGTTTTTCTACTTTTATTTAACTGAGAAATGCTTTTATATTTATTATTCTTTCTACTGCTTAATTTCGCTCTTTTTCTTTTTTTTCTAATCTCTTTCTATAAATGCTTTGGTAATTAATGTGAGTTCTTTCTTTTTTCAATGTAAAATTTTATTTCTATAAATTTACTCCTAATTATTAATTCAGTAGCACTATACAAATTTTGATATTATAAAATCTCTGACTATAACCGTGAATTTGTCTGCTACAAAATTCCGTTTTAACATCCTATTACAAACAATAGTGACGTTATCTCTATATGTGTGTAAATGATTGTGAATTAGTTTTCTATTGCAATTACAAACTTAGTGGCTAAAACAACACCCTTTTATTATTTCACGGTTTCTCTGGGCCATAAATCTGGCCACGAAATTACTGGGTTCTCTACTCAGCATCTTACGAGGTGAAAATCAATGTCTGTTGGGTTACTTTCTCACCTGGAACTTGAAGTCCTCTTCCAGGTTTATTCAGATTGTTAGCAAAATCAAAACTGTAACTCTAAGACTGAGGTTCCTATTTTTCTCCTGGCTATTGGCTAAGGGTTGCTCTGACCTGTCAGAGGCCACCCTCAGGTTTAGCCACATAGCCCTCTTATAATATGACAATTCAGTTCTTCAAAACATATAGAAGAATCACCTTCCTTTCAGAAAGGGCTCAATACACTTTAATTTAAGGGCTTATGTGATTAGGTCAGGCTCACCCAGGATAATCTTTCCTTTGATTAACTCAAAGTCAACTAGTTAGAGACCTCAATTATATTAGCAAAATAACTTCCATCTAATCTAATCTAATCTAAATCACAGGAGTGATAATCATATTATGCACACAGGCCTTACCCATACTCAAGGGCTGGGATTATACAAGGGTATTGTTCATTGGGGGAAATCTTAGAATTTTGCCTAATACAGATTGTAAGACCAGAAAAAAGGTCTGGAAAAATATACCCCAAGGTGGTAATATTTGTTACATTAGGAATGTGATGGTGTGGATGGAATAGACAGAATTGGGAGAGAAAGGTTAAAAACAAACAAACAAACAAACAAACAAAAAACCCACAAAACAGTTGTAGGAAAATGGGAGGGAAAAGCTACAGTATAAAATTAAGTAAAAATGTAGACTACAAAAGTTGAAAAGGTAACCTTTTTAATATGAACAAGGACTAGGACTGGAAGTTGTATTAGAAAAACAAGAACACTAACTTTGAATTCGGGATGGAATTTTGGTTAATTTCTGCCCTGAATTTTATTTTAGTAGATAGTTTGCAATAAAGTAAAAATAAACAAATAGCACAAAGAAAATATTTTTGTGTCTAGCATCAATCCAAAAATGTCAGTTCCTATTAGAGATAATAGCAGCTTATGGGCTACACACTTTTATTTTTTATTTCAAATGTTTTCCTCATCCAGAGGGTTAAATGTTATCAATACTGGTAAGGGACAATTTCATGATGACAGACAAAGAGGTAAAGTTTCCTCGTGAGAAATCAATTTCTAAAAGGTAACAGCCCAGCATGCCTTTGATTTTCCATAGGATGCCACACCTTTGATATAATTGAATTCGTCTTATCCACTAGTACTTGTGTAAAGATGGATGCTAAACCTTAAGTTAGAGTTTAAGAGTTATTTGAAGATGCAGTTGTTTTTTATAATTGTTGTTAGACACTTGGAAGCCCTGAGTCTGAGTAAGAATTTCTTTCTTTCCCCTCCACACACATTATATTAAGCTGTCATTCATAGCCACGGCAGGAATAGAAAACTGTCTTGGAATAACCTGGATGACAGAAGTTCTCTGGTGGTATGTAGCTTTCAAAAAAAAAAAAAAATCATCATATCACAACAGATCTCTTTTGATGTGTTCAGTATTTCCAGATTCATTTTATAATGACAAATTAAGACATTTGTACAGTGAACTCTGACATTAGTGTGAATACAGCTCTTCCTGGTCCTCTATAGTTTTTTATTTTTTCTGGCCTGCATCTTTGACAATAATCTCAAAATTTTTTGAATATTTTCACAGCAACTCAGTAACAACTGGTAATTGAGAGTAGTATCTGCGTTTCCTTGCTCAACCAATGCACCTCCCTGTAGAAAGAGGTATATGGATGAAGCTGAACTCTGGAAAGTGCAGGTATGAAAAATAAAATTCTAGGATTTTTATTTTGCAAAAACTTACTAATTATAAAATAGCCTTGAAACATGATAACATTCAATATATGTTGCAGTTTAATAATGAACACCCAGCTATACATTATTTCTATGACCCCAAAAATGTTTTGACTTATTTTATTGTATTTGGAACCCCACAGTGAAACTTTATAACAGAAAGGAAATTCTTCAAACATGAGGAGCATCAACTTTTTTCTCAAATGAAATTTGCAATTGGGTGTAGGTAATCTATGAATTGTACAGAAGTCATCTAAAATTCTGCTATCTTGTGTGCTTACTACAAATTGAATGTGTCCGGTGCAACAGAATATACAGAAAGATCTAAGTAATTTATTTTTGCTATTTTTAAATTCTCAGTCATGTTCTTACACTTCAAACAATTTTTCTTTTATTTCACAAGTATTTTACTAGTTTCTACTTTGCTAGAAGCATTTTGTTTGGCATTAGGATATAAAGGTGAACAATACAAACAGAATCCTTACCTTCGTGGAGCATATAACATGCCTGCTGAGACATTTAACCATATAGGGTACATGTAAGTTATGTTTATGATTTTCTACTAGCATTTGGTGAGTATCCATCAGTTCATTTCATTGATTAGGCAGTCAGCATTCACAAATGCTTAATATATGCCAGAGATCATACTGGAATTACATAAATACTTAAGGAACTAAAAAATCAGCAGAAAAGAGACCCCTAAGTATAATTATAGTTTCAATATGATAAATTTGGACATTGTAATTTGTAAAATGTAGATAGTTATTGAAGAATAAAGAACACACTCTCATCTGTCTTATGCATATGTGTCTGTATTTATTTATCTATTGATCTCTTTATTGATGGAGAATGTAGATAAAATTGCATAAAACAAGCTCTACAGAGGAGGTAACCCTTGAATTCTCATTCAGAGAGTGAAAATAGAACCCATTTTATATACTAAAGATTGTAAGCAATAGATTTCTAAAATAGAAAAATGTTTGTATACAAATGTTAATTGTACATCTAGTATGTCCCAGGTTTAAGACACAGTCTTGGTGGTAGATGCTGTCAGTGCTCGGCTGCTTCCTATTGGGCCTTACCATTCTTACCCAACTTTCCACCGTTCAGCACTCCTCTCTCTTTGCCTGAGGGCTTTCTCTGGCTACCAGAGCCCACCTTGTCCATGCATGTGATGGGAAATACTGGGAAAAAAATTCCCTTCATGATCAGCTCGCAACCAGTAATATCTGTGATTGGTAGGATACATTTTCCAGCTCCTGTACCCCTGGATAGCATAAATTTAAGGTTTAAAATTTAAATTTTAAACTGTTTTCTGGAGTTCCCCAGGAAGATAAAAATCAAATTATTCACAATAGTAACCTATTTGTTAATGCACTCTCATGGCTGTCTTCCTTTCCCTTTGTCACTTCCCAACTCCCTAAAAGGTCCTGGGGTCCCATCCAAAATAAACTACTTGCACTTGAATGCTTGTCTCGGGGCCTGCTGCTGGGAAAACTTAACCAAAGACACTGACTTTTCTTCATAAGCCACAGTTTCTGCCTCTAAGAAACTCCCAGTCAAGTAACACCTAGCAATTACTTCCTTCACTTAGTAGTACCCGGACCAAATACACCATTTACATTCAACACATACACGTGCACCCATTACAAGATTAATGTACCCACACACAGATAGATAGATGATTGATTGATAGGCAGATAGATCGATAAAAAAGCACTTCAAAGGCGATTTTTCCAAATCTTTCCAAATCTCTCATTTTTCTACTGTTACAAAAGTTTGAATCTAAAGTTCTTGACTTTCAGGCTGAAGCTCTCACTGCATACAAAGCATACAAAGCTGCATCTAAAAGGAAGTTTAGCAGAAAATAAGCTGGTTCAATTGATATTTTTATATGGCTGTGAGTTAGCGACTGCTGTACAACAAACTACATGAAACTTCATGACTTCAACAATTATCTTTTAAAAAACATTTTTTTGCTAACAAGTTTATGGGTTATGTTGGGTGGCTCTATTGATGTGGGTGAGGTTTGGTTGCTCTTGGCAAGCCTTGCTTATGTATCTCTGGTCTGCTGCTGGGTAGGTTAAAGGATAGGAGTTGCTTGGCTGGGACAATGGAAATGACTGTTCCACGTGGCTTCTCATCTTCCAACAGGCTGGCTCAGGCTTGTTCATGTGGCAGAAGCTAAGGTCAAAGAGAAGAAGCAGAACCGTGCAAGGACTCCTTAGTCTTAAGTTTAAAACTAGAAGGTAATTACTTTATTACTTTCTAGTGGTTAAATAGGTCCAAAGACCAACCTAAATTCAACAGGTAGGGAAATAGTTCCACCCCTTAACGGGAGTTTTTGAAAAACCACATTGCAAAATGATGTGGATACATGAAAGAAAAAAATTGCAGCAATTCTTCTGCAAACAATCTACCACCTTCTGGCTAGTGTCCATCTGAATTCATTCTGTGCTTATCAAATGCCCAGGACCTTTTTTAAAGGGGGCAAATAATATCATGTCATCTTTATTCCATTACCTTGCAACTCATTTAGCCGTAATTCCTCCCCTTGGTCATGTTCTGTGCTAATTTTCTTATGTTTCAGAAATTATATTCTCTGGTACAACACTGATTTCCCCCTACCTACTATTTTATTTAGTCTGCTCAAGCTTCAGGTTAGTCCTCTAAGTTAATTGTACTATGGAGCATTCATTAGAAATAGTATAGTCTATAAAATTGTATTTTCCAATATTTATAATAGCCATGGATAGGGAAACCTGTATGTTGTGAAAGAGACTGAGAGGGGAAAAAAAAAAAGAGGAGAAAGGTTGTTATGTGCGTAAAGACTGTCAAGAAATAGCGTCCTTGCCACCCTGTGGAAGTTTCTAAAATTGCAAGATCCAAAATCTTTGAACGTGTGTCTACTGAGTACCCATTTGTATAAATCTCTCTGCTGTGTACCAGTGAGGGGAAAATGAACTGTTCCATGCAAAGGGGCATCCTCATGTTGCCGAACTAAACGGAGCCGGTGTGTTCACCTCATGTTGACAAGTGGACCAACTCTACCCCCAGCCTCATCTCAATAGATATGGGAAGATGGCAGAGCCTCATCTCACGATCAGGATTTTAGAGCTGGAAAAATCTTTTGGAGTCATCTAACCCAACTCATAGTGCTTTTGTTAGGTAAACTTTTAAAAAAAATACAAAGTACTCACGGAAAAGTACACAGATAATAATTTAATTGCTCCATGAGTGTACCCATGTAACCAGCACCTAGAAGGAAAAACAGAAAACTCTCAGTTTCCTAGGAGCCCACCTCTTACTTCCCTCCCAGACATCCTGACTTCCAATAGCATATCCACATCTTGCTTCTTGGGAACTTTTTCTAAATAGAATTATACTGTTGTTCTCTTTTGTATGACGTTTGTCACACTGACTATCACATCTGTAATATTATTCATCCTTGTTGCTATGTATTCTTGAAGATTATTTGTTTTCATCACTTCATAATATTTCAATACATGAGTAAATCACAACTTACTCAGTTCTACAGTTCATAGCCACTTGTGTTGTTTGCATTTTTGACTGTCACACATTATCTTGCTATGAACATTCTAGTACATAGCTTTTGGTGCCCATATGCTTGTATTTCTGTTGTGTATCTATTTAGGACTGTAGTTTCTGGGCTACATGTGTGTATATGTTTGGCTTTCATAAATTATACCAATTTTCTAAATTGGTTATACTAATTTATATTTCCACCAGCCCAACTATGATTTAACTTTTATTTTTTAATAATTACAGATTTACAAGAATTTGCAAAGAAATGTCCAGCCGAGACCTGATATCCCATGTATCCAGCCTCCCCGATGCCTAATATTAGCATCCGGCATATGTATTTTTTAATATGGGAGGCAGACTGAAAGAAGCAAAGTGATCTGGTTGAAGCCTCAGGCTAATGAGTTGCAAAATTGTAACAAAAGTATGGACTTTCTGTTGACTCATGAAAAGCTGCAACAAGTTCTTTTTAACATCACCTTACAGTTTGCAAAGTACCTTTATGTTTATAAAATTGTATAGTTGATAACACATAAAGAAAAAACTAAATACCACATTTTCTCACTTATAAGTGGGAGCTAAATGATAAGAATGCATGAACATATAGAGGGGAACAACACACACTGAGGCCTGTCAGAGGGTGAAGGATGGGAGGAAGGAGAGTATCAGAAAAAATAATTAATGGATACTAAGCTTAATAGCTGGTTGATGATATAATCTGTGCAAGCAACCCTCATGATACAAGTTTACCTATATAACACACTTGCACATGTACCCCTGAACTTAAAAGTTAAATGCATATATTTATATAATTTATATATATGTATAATTGATATGATCTCTTACTAAAATTTGAAGAGCATTTACCTGTCTCCTAGGATTTGGAGTAAAGATTAACGTTGAAGCTGGTGCAGGATCAGTATTCAATGAAAGGGTAGTCATTTATTATCAATGGCAACAGCATCATCCCATTTGGAGAGCATTTTTATCTTCATTTCTTAGAAGAGGAATGTAATGCATAAAGAAGTGATTGAATTCTTCAAGGGCTGAGTTGATAAGCCACAGAGCCTATCCTAGACTTGTGTTCAGAAACTCTGACCCTACACTTCAATTGCTGATAGTGATAACTTGCTTGATAATACACACTGTATTGCCTTCATTCTCTGTCCTGTCTCAATTTCTACTCCCCTCCTGTCAGTGTTTTCTGGGATCACATCTCAAATAAAACACTTGCACTAAAATTCTTACTCAGAATCTGCTTCTGGGGAATTCAAACTAAGGCACTCATCTTCACCATTTTTTTCTATCTAGCTTCTTAATTTCCACCATTTTTTTTCTATCTAGCTTCTTAATTTCTGTTCTGATCCCAAAAACAACTCCCAAAGAGTGGTTTCCATGTGACATTTTTAAGGTCCCTTCAGT